AAGGGGCGTCCGGGTTTGAAGGGGTGAGGAGGGGGCTCTTAAAGGGACAGAGACCGCGGGGGGGGGGGGACCTGGGGACAGGGGGGGGCTGGGGGACACCAGGATTTGGGGACAGTGGGCACAGGGAATGTGGGAGCAAGACATGGGGCTCGGGGGCAACTGGGGGACACGGGGGGCTGGGAGGATGCAGTGGGTTTCTGTGGGTGGGTTTTGGTAGCAGGGGGGGGCTCCAGGGGTGGCTCCTCTTGGAAGCTCCCCCTGCCTCGTGGAGCCAATTCCAGCTGCTCCAGGACGGGATTCCTGCCGCTGGCCAAGGCTGAGCCCACCAGGAGCGACGGGAACACCCCTGGGATAACGGATTTAGGGACAGAACGCTGCGGCGCAGAAGGAATTGCAGGCAGGGGAGAGCGGAGCGGGAACGTGGGAACATCCCCAGCCCAGGAAAGAAAAGAGCCTCGGTGGCACAGCAAGGATTTGCCTCTGGTGACTAAATTTATTTAGCAAGGAAAAAGCTCCTGGCTGTCTCCAGGTACAGTTCAGAAAACAGGAACAGATCCAATCACATAATCCAGGGAAAACACCCTCAGGCTCGTTACAACTAAAAAATAAAGTGGATTTTTTTTTTTGTTTAATTTAAAAGCTCCAAAGCAATATAATCTATGATACAATGTACACTGTACACAGAGGGGGCACGGGGAAAGGAGTCCCAAAATTCCAAAGGAAAACATTTCCGTGTTGCTTGGGAATTAAAAAGTCAGGAGAGAGAAATTTTTAAGAGGGGGGGGAAGAAAAAAAAAAAAACCACAAAACAACAAAAAGCAGAAAACTTGAGTTTTGGGAGAGAAAAAGAAACAGAACAAAACAACAAAATAAAGCCTTGAGTTTTGGGAAATCTGAGGAGGAGGAGGGGGTTAAATAGAGATTAGAAAAGCACTCATGATCCACAGGGTGGGAATCGGGAGCGTAAGGCAACGATCTCCATAGAAAAGGGGGACCTTCCAAAGGGGGCATAGAGATATTTATAGCTATTTATAGATTTAAATACAAAGTAGGAATGTGCTGTGGGGCCTCTCCCCCGTGCCCTGGCTCCTGGGGGAGCTCCTGGGGGACATCCCAGGGAGGGCTCCCGGCGCTGCTGAGCCACCCCCCGACCCCGGGGGGGTCCCTGGCACCTCTGGAGGCTTTGGGGACGTCCCTCGGGGTCCCCCGTCCTGGGGGGCTCTGGAGTGCTCCTGGGCCTGGCCGTGGGCTGTGGGGTGGGGGGTGGGTCCCCCCCAAGGCCCTACAAGTTCTTGGTGACCAGGTGGGTCTTGTAGTGCTTGGTCAGGTGGTCGGAGCGCATGAAGCGTTTCTGGCACTGGGCACACTCGAACCTCTTGTCACCTGTGGGCAGAGGGGACACTCAGGGGGGTGGCACTGGGATGCTGTGCCTGGGTCGCCCTGCCACGGGCAGGACAGTGGGGACACCCCCAGGGCAGGACCCCCTTGATCCCCCCAGCCCCCTCCCGT